AAAGGGTTTACCTTCCTGAGATCAAGAGTAAGAGTTCAAGTTCTCCTCTCCCCTCCCCCTCCCCATCCTCGTCCCAAAAAAAAAAACTCCTGATACCATGACTGTAAACCAAGTTAGTTGTAGTTCATGTTTGATAGACATTGATGAAATCCTATTAAAAAGTTTTGACTCGAAACAAGATTGCTACTTGGGTTTGGTTTGCTCCCTGTATTTACAATAGCTTGAAAGAAGAGCAAACATAAGACAGTTTATTTTTTATTCTGTCTTTGAATGGCCGGAAAAAAGGAAATAAAAAAAGGGTAAATTATACTTACACCCCTTGAAGTATCACCTTTTTTCCACTTTGTCCTTTTATTTGCCAGATTTCTCACGTTACACTCTAAACTAACATTTTTGTTTCACATTGTCCTAATTATAAATGTCTGTTATCTTTTTGAATAAAAATTACTGACATATTTGGATAAAGTGAAAAAAATTACATTATTTGAGGGGTAAAATAAAATAACCTTTTGTTAAATTTGTAACGGGCATTAATAATTGATGGACGTTAATAATTGGGACAATGTGAAATTAATCACATAGTGGAGGGTGAAATGTGAAAAATATGATAATATAGGGGCAAAGTGAAAAAGGGTCATAGTTGAAGGCCAAAGTGTAATTTGTTCTTAAAACAAGGAAAGGAAAATAGATCCTTACTTTGCCACATCAAGACTCACATTTCCACCATTAATTCATTACATAATAAATGTTTGTAAACTCTGTTTTTCCTTAGAAACCTAGGGAAACTTTCGAGGGTGAATTATACTTTGACCCACCTCAACTATGAATTTATTTTCATATTGTCCCTTTTATTTTGCATGTTTTTCATATTGCACATTCAACTATGTTATTAGTTTCACTTTGCCCCAATTATTCAAGTCTGCTATAAATTTTACGAAAAATTATTTCATTTTGCCACCCGAACTAGGTGTTTTGTTTCAATTTGTCCCAGACATGTTGACAATTTCCATCCAAAAAATAATGGACATTTGTGTTTTAGTAGTGTGAAATTAATTCAGGTAGTTGAGAGTACAATGTGAAAAATATAATAGTTAAAGTGGCATAGTGAAATTAAGTCCATAGGGGTCAAAATGTAATTTTCCCTTTAAAAGAATAATCACAATAAGCTTATGACTTAATACATTCATTTTCTTCCTTCATGATGACTGATATATACCTTGACCAAAAAAAAAAAAAAAATCTGAACCCAAAATATTGCAAATTAGTTGTACTCATGAGCACAAAAGAACACTGACAACATCAAAGAAAGTTATTGATGCTTAATCCCCAAAGCAGTGGGGAAGTTTCTGTCACTGGGCATATCTAAGTTTGAAAGCAAATTGAAAAGGAATTAATCAATCCGAAAGGTTGTCCAAGTGGTAACTGGAATGCACTATAAATATAGATATTTTAAGTTCGAATTTTGATAATTTTTTGGGACTAGATCATGAGAGATTTATTTTTTATTAATAACCTAGTCGCGGCGTGAATGATTTGCCTTTAATTGAATTGGAGAGGGGATTAATCAAGGTGTGCATAAATTAATTAAAATATCCCTGACCATTTAAAAAAAAAGAGAAAGGGAATTCATCTCACCGATGGCCTGAAATGAGCCAAGTCATAAACCGTGGTGAGCAAAACTGCAAAATTGCTTGTGCAATTGGAACTGCCGGATGTGTAACCTTCAGAGTTGACATGTGCTGCAGCAGAAGTTAAATAAAAGCAATTTTTTTTTTGTTTAACTCTAATGATATTGAAAAAAGTAATACTACATAACTCAAATGAAGATGCATATTATCTCTTTAATGAGTAGATTTTATCAACTTTTTCAGTGAAACTTATTCATCTAATATTCATTCAAAGGATGATATATATTTGAGTTCTAATTTTTTAATTTCATTTGAATTGTGTAACATTTTCCATTCAAAAGAGGTGGGTCTTACTCGTGGCTAAGATTTTTCCGATATCACATGTGCGTCAAAAGTTAGAGTTACAGAAACAATTTTTTCACGTGTGAGAGAAAGACTGTGTATATCTGATTAGGGGTAACAATTGAATTATTGTTCAAGCCGTGTTATTTTAGGTTTGTATCGTGTAATAGTTAACTCTAACCTAACCTATTTCATTACCCCTGTCCGGTGTCCTAATACTAATCCGATATATTTCTTATCATGTCTTGTTCGAATTGACCAATATAGCCAGTGCACTAAGATCCAAAACTAATGTGATTTTGGTTGCCAACTTATTATTATATTTGTGGAACCCAGATTGACAAACATTTGATGGCCTCACAGACATTGGTTTTTTGTGAAAGTAGGGTCAAATTTGTAGTTTCGCAAGCAAATCCTGTCAGTTGGCTTGTGCAACGCACCGTAGAGATGGGTCATGTAGGCAGGCAAACAGTCACTGTCCAAACCAGGTCACGGAATAAACCTAGTCAGATTTCTGACCCCTTTTTTTTTT